AAAGTACCAAGTACCTTCCGCGACCGCGGAAAGGACTGGGGATATACAGTGTCGGACAAAATTGAACGTCCACTTTTTATGCCGGACTAAAATTGTCATAGCGACTGACCTACTCACCCAATCTCAACGTTCTTGACACCAAATTGTAGACCCACTAATACTCTTTCGAAATCAGTAATCAGATATTATATTTCAATTGGGGGAGATGTGAGAAAAAAATCTTGAAAATTAAAAGTGAAAATTAACGCGTCAAAATTGCACGTCCAGTTGCGTTTATTTTCAGATATATCAGGATAACTTAATTTCCTCGTCGAGATAACTTAATAAATATGACCTACAAACATTATTATACTAAATTTGATCCAAACTATTGATATCATTTGGTCGCAAAAAAGTCCCAACTGCAATAAGTGATCATATAATTTCCAACTTGAAATCGAGGTCAAAATTGGTGTTTACGCCAACGACAATTAAGAGAGAATTACAAACTAGCAAGTACAACACTTCAAATACTCCTAGGAACCTACAAAAAAACCGGATGCATTCACAACAAACTAGGAAGAGGTTGTAATGAAGTGTATCACAAAAATATGTCGCATATTTAGTGAGGAACATGGAAATAAAATCATCCGTTTCAGCCTCAATTCTAGCGGCTAAAGTCGACACTATGTTTCACAAACACGTTACTCCTACGACTATCAAAGACACCTGAAACGAAAAAATTCTTCCCGCGAGGTCATCCAGTTTCGAAGCTCACAATCTCAGAATATAACGCCAATAAATGAGTCAAGTTTGCCATGGTACATTTTCTTAACGAGAATGTTATTCGTAACCCCGTTTTAAATACTAGTTAGTCGGAATTTAATGTATTGCGATCCAATTGAGTATGTCGAGTTTGGAGATATCAATATGAAGTTATAAAATCGTAAACTCTGAATCCTACCTGAATGTACATAGGTCACAAGTTTGGTTCGCGTCCAATTCTGACATGACGAGCTTCGAAACTGCAGGGCTTCGCAGAAAGATTTTTTTCGTTTCAGGTGTTTTTGATGGTACTAGGGGCAACGTCTTTGCGAAGCATAGTATCGACTTCAGCCGCTAGTATTGAGGCTGAAAATGTCGATTTTAATTCCATCTTCCTCACCAAGTATGCGACATATTTTTGTGATGCGATTCTTTACAATCCCTTCCTAGTTTGTTTTGAATGCAGCCAGTTTTTTCTAGGTTCCTAGGATTATTTGACGTGTTGGGTTTGTCAATTTGTATTTCTCTCTTAATTGTCGTTGGCGTAAACACCAATTTTGACCTCGATTTCAAGTTGGAAATTATATGATCACTTATTGCAGTTGGGACTTTTTTGCGACCAAATGATATCAATAGTTTGGATCAAATTTAGTATAATAATGTTTGTAGGTCATATTTATTAAGTTATCTCGACGAGGAAATTAAGTTATCCTGATATATCTGAAAATAAGCGCAACTGGACGTACAATTTTGACGCGTTAATTTTCACTTTTAATTTTCAAGATTTTTTTCTCACATCTCCCCCAATTGAAATATAATATCTGATTACTGATTTCGAAAGAGTATTAGTGGGTGTACAATTTGGTGTCAAGAACGTTGAGATTGGGTGAGTAGGTCAGTCGCTATGACAATTTTAGTCCGGCATAAAAAAGTGGACGTTCAATTTTGTCCGACACTGTAAAGATTGGCAAGCATTCTTCCACGTGTGCGATTCAATATGTCCCCACGGGTTCATCACCCAAAGAATTTCCTCTGTTGAATCAATCTAACTAAATATGTGCAAATGCGAAATATTTAGCATGGCTTTTCTAATTGCCACTTACAACGGTTAATCAAGTATAATTGGATATATTGGTTAGTAGTGTCAGTAATTGTGAATTGAGCCTTGTGCAATCAACTTAATTTGACTTGATTGCTTGATTTCTAACCGATCCCATATATATTTATTTATTTACTAGTTAAATAGTTACATTAGACAACCAACAAACTTAGCAACTTTGTTGAAGCGTTTAGTCGTAGCAGGTCAAATTAACCCAGTCAGATTGACCCGCTTCGTATTGGCCCCATGTAAAATGGACCCGTTATATTGACCCATACAGTGTAATGTACCAATCGCTGTAGTGCATTAGGAAATATAGTGGTACAATTTATTTCATGATACCTCAAATTCAAGTTAAATATTCCTATCAATCTTATATTGAAAACAATAATCCTTATCAATAAAGCAGTACTACATAAATGTCAAAATTATAAGCAATGCCCCTCAAAATATCCAGAATTCAACTTAATTTTTTCATTTAACTGAAAACTGAAGTGTTTATGCATTTTTGTACACTTTTCTGCTTAATATTCGTAATTCTAAAGAAAGCAGTTGGTGGGTTCATTAAATTACGTTTGCAAAAGCTGCAAAAACTGATCCTTTGTGTAGGATCAGTATGAGGCGGGTCAATATTCTACGGTTCAAATTGTAGTTGGGTGAATAAGACTTACAATGCACATGTCAGACATGTTTCTCACGGATCCTCATCAAACCAGGACTAAAATATCAAGGAACTAAACACAAATAACAATTGGTGTGGCACTTGAGCACTTCTGCAGAATTCGCAAAGATATGAAGGTTTTAAGTTGGCAAAAACGCGCATTTTCACCATGCGAAACTATACGGTGTTCTCCACTTTCCAATCTTCGCCAGGTCATTGGTTTTCACCTTCCATACAAAATTGAATTCATTTACTTCCGAACCAAATTCTCATCAGATTTTTCATCTCCAGATTTTAAATGAAGTTTTTAATACTTTTTAATATTTAAAATATCTAAATTTAATTAACTTCGTATTAGTGGAAAAAATAATTAGAAAATTGGTTCAGAATAGTTGGTCCTATTTTTTTATTTCTTTGACTTTGCGTGGTTTTAAGGACTTTTATGACAAAAACCATATATTTTGTGATGCTCGTCCTTATCGCACATACGGTTACGAATCTTATTATATTTGGCTTTATACATATGTTTTAGAACTAGAAGGTATACGAGCGAAAACACTCAATCTGAAAGAGATAAAATAAAAAAAATCGGATTAACTATTGTGATCGAATTATAAAAAATTCCAATGATAAGAAGTTAATTGAATCCATTTTAAATAAATAGTGAAAAGTATTAAAAACTTTATTTAAAATCCGGAGATGAAAAATCTGATGAGAATTTAGTTCGGAAGTAAATGAATTCAATTTTGTATGGAAGGTGAAAACCAATGACCTGGCGAAGATTGGAAAGTGGAGAACGATATGAACGCCGTATAGTTTCGCATGGTGAAAATGCGCGTTTTTGCCAACTTAAAACCTTCATATCTTTGCGAATTCTGCAGAAGTGCTCAAGTGCCACACCAATTGTTAATTGTGTTTAGTTCCTTGATATTTTAGTCCTGGTTTGATGAGGATCCGTGAGAACCATGTCTGACATGTGCATTGTTAGGCAATTTGTCGTGGGTCAATCTGACGGAGTCGATTTGACGTTCTACCGAGTTTAGATGGAATTTAAATGTGTATTCAGTCAATTGTCAATGGTGTGGAGTTCGTAATGTATATCCCGATTAAGTCAAGAAAGGCTAAGTAATTAATGCTTGTTTGCAGATAGTTAATAAAGTCTAACTAGTATTTATTACAGTTCAAGTCACATCACAAAATTTGCTAATATCGATACGTAAATCCATAATATGTCCAATAATAATACCCACACACTAATTGCTAGGGTTGCCGCGTGTAACAAAAACGCTACCCGTTATACAGACTATATAAAATAAAATAATCAAATACTGAAATAAACTCGACTTAACTATATGTATTTGCTCTTTTGCGTTAATAAGCACTTTCACAAAATGCAATGAGAGTTATTTTGAAACTTCTTGACTTACAATGGAGGTCTCCCAACGTATGCTCACAGATTTGGACCAAACTAGCGTCGATCGATCACAAATATAATTAGTATGAAATTTGTAAATAGCACTATCTGCCAATGCTCAAGTTTAGGGGAGATATTTGCATAAAAAGAGGAGAAAACGCACCCCTAAGGCTGGCAAATTTGTCATTTTCCAAATTCGCTGCGCATTTTTCCAGTTTTGGATGCAAATATCTCCGCCAAACTTGCGCATTGGCAGATTGTGCAATTTGCAAATCTCATACTAATTATATTTGTGATCGGTTGAGGCTAGTTTGGTCCAAATCTGTGAGCATACGTTGGGAGACCTCCATTGTTAGTAAAAACCTAAAAATATAAAAAAAAATATATCTTATAACAATAAATCACATTCATTTCTTGTGCTTCCTGAAGTTATTACATGATAAAAACAACGAAATCCTTTTTCACAAATGCACTTTTATGGCACTCTCGTCTCACACTCCTGATCCTTTCCTTTGTTTACCCCTATCCGAGGAATGATCAACCAATTAATTCCTTTTCAAAAGGGTAACAATATTTTTAAGAGTATTTCTAAGATAGAAAAGGTGTGGATACTGGGTAATTAAATATGCACATAAAAACATTAATTAGATAATATCCGAGTCAAGGTTTCCAATTTATCAGTCAGTCTGATCATTTTATTTCAAATTCTAAAACTAAACTTATTAATTGAGTATTATCAATATTCTAAGCAGATTTGCATTCTCGGTCGGGTCTGCTTATGCTGAGCCCGAGCAATAAAGGAGGAGGCACTGTCCTTACGTGAAATGCCCCGCCGTGATATTCCCCCCAAATTTTGATGTTGTACATCTCGAGAGGCTGAATAAAAAATGTATTGGTCCCTAAGCCCTAAGTGACCTGGTTCGACCGGAAATAGAGGTCAAAGGTCAGTGCAGTATTCCGCTCGAAACCCCATAAACCGCATATTTTTGGAAAGCTACGGACCTCATACATATGCATATGTATGTATTAACATGTTGAGCATAATAAACGAAATTGTAAAAAAAATTATCGCACAAACCGGATTCTTTAATTAATTTGAAACATGTAACTTTTATTGCGCAATTTTTGCATTAAATTAAGCTATTTTCAAGGATTATTTTGCAGAATAGATCTTGAACCCTTGAAGTTTCCGGTTTTACTATTCACATTCCTGGAAACCAATTGATCTTGTTTCGAAGCCTATTTTTACTCTTACAATACTTTCAAACTTCCCCTTACAAATCCTTGTGTAAATTTTAACATGTTTAAGTCATTAAATAAATCTGTAATAAATATCCCTGAAATTCTATTGCCAGATGTTAAAAATTTCGCGATGTTTCCTTATAAGCAGCGAAACGCAATCGGGAGATTGCGCAATTCCTAGAAAGGGGCTTGATCATTCATAATTTTAAAAACTATTTTATCCTGAGTAATTAATCAAGTGGTAGCTTAATTAATAATTAACGTTGCAAAAAGTTTAAGTTTTTAACACAATTTTAGCTCTCCTTCAATCCAAACTTTAATAACGGAATACTTATCAAGGCGTACATGACTTGTGTAATCTTTCAAACTTCGGGCGGTCTGGCCACACCCACAAATTTCCTTGAAGATAGAAAGTTACCGATAACGGACACCATCACGTGGCATGTCAAGACCACGATGCAAATCCCGATGAGGACAGCGGCCAGGGCAAACTCGATAACTTCGCTTCCCTCCTGTTTCTCCGGTACCTGTTCAAAATGTAAATAAATTCATTCGCTGTGGAACCTTCTTTCAAGCTACATACATCAAGATTTTCTGACGTTTCGTTTAAAAAATGGACCCAAAGATTATTTAGCAACCACGTGACCCTCAATTGGCCTTTTTGAAGAAAAATTTTGGGGGGGTAAAGTTGTGTTTCGGAGGAAAAACGAGACAAAATTAATTCCAAAATTTAACCTTGCCGCCAGTATTTTTCTTCAACAGAAAGATAGGTGTCATGTGACTCCTAATCTTTGGCTTGGTTTTTGATATAACTCGCAAGAAAATACAGGTGTAGCTTGAAGAAAGGTCAAACTGTCAATTTTTATATGAGAAAAGATTGTTCATTATTGAAAATTGGAAAATCAAAATTGATTCATTCTTCATTTACGTCACTTCCGTCCGGTTGCTGGGATACCTGTTCAAAAAACGGTACTTAACTCAGTCCTAATTAAACTTTATTCGGAATATTTAGATGTTTTTTCATTATTCATTTTTTATTCATTTAATCTCAAATTTGTGGTATTATAGGGATTTCTAAATATACCCCATGTACTAAGCATATCTTAGAAAATTACGAATGACTAAAAGCCATCATCCTTTCTGAATGAATATGAATGAATAAATAAGTATTTCGTGAATATTCTTTCATTCATAATTTGAATAACAATTTATTCATTATTCTTTCCTTGTTCGTTTTTTGTCTGAAGTTCCCCTTATGGAAATGGAATTATTAAGAAATAAAAATGGAGAAATCAAATTATTCATTCATTCTTCATGACTATGAATTAATGTTTTTCAATATTTATTAATTTACAAATTTAAAAAAAACTATTCACGATTTTATTAGTAGTGAATGAATAATTTTGTCATTTTCTATCAAGTATTTTTTACTCACGTTCTGGGCCTTAATTTCGCTCTTCACCATGCCCCACATTGAAGAAATCACGACCGCGGAGGACACCAGGGCCAGGCTGATTCCCGTCAAAGGGTTGAAGTCCAACCAGGGTTGGAAGGTGAATATGAAGCTTGAACCAAATATGCCGGCCAACACGGAAAAGAATAAGACGCACTGGTAATAAGTGTCACTGTGAGAAAAATTTGGTTAAAAACTTAACCAAAATTTACCAAAAAACCAGAAAAATTAAACACGCTCTTAAAAATAATGGCACGCTTTAAGGAACTAAATAAATGCACTCTGAATTCTAAATTTAGTAATGTCCTTAAGGCTACTGTGGACAACGCGTTAATCTCACTCTACCCCTATCCAATGTATTCAAATACAATTTTTAAAAATTGAATCAAGTTCATGAGTTTTGGGATAAATGCAACTTTAGATATTTTAATCTAATTTTTGGTAGAAACAAGTCGATATGAAAAAATAGCCAATTCCTTTGCCATTGTATTAGTATAAATTTCCTCAAAATTGAAAAAACGGGTGATTTTTATAAAGCGGACGAAGCAAACCCCACTAAGGGAAAAATCGTCCATTTTTCAACTTTGACCTCAAATATTTTGACTAATTCCGTCCGGCGCACAAGCAGCCGCAAGAAACGTTGGTTGTATTGAGCTGGACCACATAATTATAAAATTTCAACAAAATCTGAGAGTTACACCTTACACCATTGCATTGTATGAGAAAGTGTATGTACTTACTACGGGGTAGTCGCGACGGCACACACCGCCAAATATATGACGCAGCTCGATAACGTTGCCTTCATCCACCACCGATTACGCCACGGTTTGCAAATGAAGCAGGTAATTAAGGTCACCACACCGATTATTGTGGCCCCGATGGCAGCATAATTAGCGATGTCGGAGCGAAACACGTTATGATTTGGGGTGGTTTTTGATCTTGCAAAAATCATGCCCCCAATGGTAATAAGCATGTGGAAGAACAACACGGAGAAAATTTTCCTGTTGAAAAAAAAAAATTTAGTATTCAGTTCAAACCAGAGAGGTTCACTTTCATTCATTTGGCTAAGAGTGAAAATAAAATTCGTCATTTGAATCCTGTTCACTGATTTGGCTAAGAATGAAAATGAAATTCCTGTCGTTTGAATGAAAATGATTGAAGGAATCCCTCAATTTAGACGAATGAGCGTAAATGAACGAAATTTGCACTTCTTTCATTTTTCATCGCAGGTATGTCTAATACATGGGGTCAAGTAGGAAATGAAGTTCGATGAATTTGAGCTAGTGCAAATGACTGAATGTGAATGAAAAATACTCACTCAGAAATCGGGATGACTGACTTTGAATGAAAACTAAATTTTTGAGCAGGTACATATGTTTCAAAGTGATGTGTTAGTTTGATGTGGGGGCAGTTCAGAAATGATGTAACCCAAAAAATCGCCTTTTTCTAAATAATTTATTAACGGCCCAGTAGTAATTGTAAGTATTGAATATAAAATCCGGATAATTCTGATACAGTCATACATAGCTGTTAAAAAATTCACTTTTCATTCAAAAGTCCGTCATTTAAATGATTCCACCCCATTTTTCAAGACTTAATAAAATATTACCTCACGAATAGCACCCTCCTCGCTTTGTAATCCAGCATTAAACCTGTGACAACCTCAATCTTGGGACCGGCGGCCGGTGCGATTTTTTCCCCGGGGGGAGCACCACCCCCAAGGGTAGCATTTTTCTCTTGATGAATATAGAAAATCTGAGGTTCGGTTCGAAATAGGGAGGACATGTGCACGTTTATATTTTGCTGTGGGTGTGGTTGTGGGGACGACTTGTAATTAGCATCATAATTGTGATACGGTGGAGGGGGACTCTTGTTTGGGGGGAAGGGTAGAAAGGTAGCATCCAGAAATTGAGCAGCCTGGCTTTTATTATCCAGCATGATTATTAAGTAATTATCCTGCTGTAAGTGTTTTATTAAGATATGACTCATCCCCAAAATTAGCACATTTTCAATATTTTTTTACCTCTGGGAATTTATTTTGAAATTCTGGTAGACCAGGTCGTTGCGAATTTTTTGTAATACGCACTACAGATTTTGACACTTTTTGAAGGAAGAGATTTCCAGGTTAGGAAGCTTTCAGAAAAATTGGCACTCGTCGAAACTAACTGAAAAACTCGGCAGAATTGTAGATAATTGTGTTGTTCTATTGGCCAAAAAGTTATCAAATATGTATGTTTTATGTATTACTGGTCTCTCGAATTAACTAAAAATTCCACGTAAGTAATTCGCAACTCAAAGATTATGAGGTTACGATAGAATGTCCATCACTTCCAAGGTGACAATTAATTTAGTACCTGGCACGCCATGGATTTGTGATTAGCATAATCTTCTTGGTATGCAACGTTGACTTGTGTGAATGTATGTTAAGTGGTCGTAACTAGCCAAATTTTAGTTGGAAAAGCGTCATAACATGGATTCGTTAGGTAGGAAATATGTACATGAGCAATTAGCATTGCTAATTGCTTATTCAAGCAGTGGCCGTGGACTGTGTGGGAACATAGGGACACTATCTCCACGGAAATTTTGCCATGACGATAGGCAATGCATTTGTCCCCACGGTTTATAAGTACAAAAATGACGTAATACGCCAGCTTGAACCATAATTTCAATATTATATTGAAATTAGTTAATTATGTACATATGTACATTGGTCTTCCACTCCAATTTTAAGATAATTGATTGAATCTATAACTAGTACCATTCAAATATGCAATTATTTTTATAGCAATCCGTTTGATCTTGTTTTATCCAACTGTTCTAAATAAATCATTATGAGAATTTATGTTCCCGCATGACCTTCCGCGGCTACTGAATTGAACCATGCTAATTTAGCTTGATTCTTTGCTTTATTTGTTTATATGAAGTATTGAAAGTTCCAGTGTGGCGTTCAAACTAAAGCATTTCATGGAAGATTTAACCTGTGGAAATTGAAATACGTATGTATACCACTCTTAAAAAAAGATCCTTTTGGAAAGTATATGCTATCCAGAAAATAATGAACCTATACTAAATCCAGGCTGGACTCTACTGTTTATCAAGTTAATGCTACTCGGGATTTTGCATAATTTATTTATATGCATAACTCGGACAGCATACATACATACTTCTCAAAAGGGTAACATTATTTTTAAGAGCGCAAAATGATAATAAAAGTATGAAGTTGAAACGTACAATACAGATGTAACACAAATATAAATACATACGTTCCGAGTCAAGGTTTATAATTTACCAATCTAACTGATACTTTTATATCATACTCTGGAAAACTCACAGTATGGATATGTAAATATGTAAGCATACATTTAGCGTATACACGTCAACCTTCGCATATCTCGCATATCTCGCAAAATGAGCATAGCAACATAACTTGCGAAGTTTTGTGAGATATGCGAGATTTCGCAAAAATTTTGCTGGAAAACCATGCGATTTTTTTCGCAAATTGATCCAGCAATTGGGCATGTTCTTATTTCGCAAAATTATTTCGCAAATTCATCCTCACCATCTCCAGCAAGAGAAATTAGAGAAATCCATGGAAACAATACGAAAATTGGTGTTTTTCAATAGATTTGTGAGACTAGAGAGATTTGCGAAGTCATATTTTGCGAATCCCCTCGCGACAGAAATATTTTGATTTTCGCAAGTTTGCTAAATGAGTGGTGATACGAAATAACAAGTTGTCGTGAGTACGCCCATTATGCATATGTATGTATGTATTATGTGAGGAGGATTCCTACCCATAGGGGTAGACATCCAGCTGCGCAGGTCACCAGTTGGACCTATTGCAGACACCTCAATGCACTCGCATGCGATTATTGTGTCGCTTATGCATATATATGTATGTAAATACATAAATGCGCATTTTATTACAAGTTTTGAGGGCCTTTAGAAATTAATAAATATTCATTTTGTCCGAAAAAATTGTTGTAACTGACATAAAATTATGTCAGTTACAACAATAAATCAAAGGACAATTTTTTCCTTTGAATGGATTATGGAATCTGGAAATTTTTTAAAACCAGAATATTTTCATAGTTTACATAATAGATAACTGTAATTACAAACATATTTTTTAATTTAATTTGAATGATAAAATTTAATTGGGTAATTTTTATTGTGCAATTTCTCAATTAACTTAATCTTTTAGACACAACGGATTATTTTACGGAACAAATTTTGAACGATTTTTAACTTTCCGGTTTTACTATTCACATTCGTTAAGACAAATTTATCTTATTTAAATGCCTATTTTAACGCTAACAACACCCTTAAACTTCCTCGAACAATTCCCTGTATGAATTTCAACATGCTTAAATTATTAAATCTGTAATATCCCGGAAACTCTATGGCCAGGGGGCGACATGATTTTCGAAATTTCCCGATATGTTTCCGGGCCCACTCGGATCTCCAGAATCTTCTCAGTTCATCCGATTCGCCCCAATGTTTCCAAGAATCTATGGTCTTCTTCGACTTGAGAAACATAATTCCCGCGACGCGCAGGATTATCGTATACATGAGAAACATGCTTATCGACCACGTGGTCACGATGGAGAAGGTCGTGGTATTTAAATCCTGCGAATGTCGGACCAACATGTACACCCCCAAGATTACGATGCCCCCGCAGAAGGTTTCCGTGGGGAGGAGGATTGGCCCGTAAATCGAGATCGTGACGCGATGAATGACTTGTAAGGAGCGAAACGCGATCGGGAGATTGTCCGGGTGCCGGAGTTCCTGAGAAAGGGGAGATAAATTCGTAATTAAAAAATATTTTATTTTAATCCACTGATTAATTACACAATTATTGTTGTAAGATTTCTAAATTTTTAATGCGTTCAGTAGGTATCAAATTTAAGTTGTACTAAATTTGCAAAAGATACAATCTCCCAATTCTAAGATTTTGTTGAAATATTCGCATCCGCAGATCTAGATCCGTAGATCCGCAGATTACGCACGGTAAAATTAGGAAGGTGTAAAATTTGCCGACTTTTTGGCTGATTTTCTCCTTTTCAGATGCAAATATCCCCGAAAAACCTGAAGGTTGGGAGAGTGTACATTTTACAAATTTCATATCAGCTAAATTTGTAAGTTATTGACACCGATTTGGTCAAAATTGGAGCGCATGCCCTTCGAACCATCTATTTTAAGTTGTATACTTCGGTACGTATTTATATAAACATATGCAAATATTCATATCGGAATTTTCCCCAACTCACCGTAATGGTCCCGTGTTTCCTCCCATCGCCCAAAATGCATCTAAAATCTCGCACAATTTTGTGAAAAATGAACCAAATGTACGTCTTCGCGACTAAACAGTGAAACAAAATGAGCGAATAGACCGTTCCAAAAAAGTGAAAGTAGAACACGGCGAATCCCATGTAGGCCAATTTCTGCATGAAACAATGCCTGAACTGCAAAATGTTCAGAGAACTTATGTAAATCGAAGTTTTAGGCAAAGCGAGAAAGTGGAGAAAGCACAAAATGTGTGTCAAGACGACGGAAAACACGGTCGTAAACGCCATCAAGTCAAGTATTTTGTTGACACTGGACGTTTCCGGGTTGTACGATGGCATCCATCGCCCTATAACGAAGTTGAAAACATAATTAATTATTTTTAGAGTAAAATTAATTCCGTAGCTTAATAGAACACTTTGTCATTTATCCGGTAATTAATTTATGTAGATAGATTTAAAGCACGAGAAATTCTGGATTATAGCTTGGCTTTAAATGTTAATTTGAATTATACATAATATTGGTCTTGCGAAACTTCAAAAATTGACAAACGTTTCTGTATACATAAACTGCATTTTTCAAAATTGAAGGACGCTCTTCAAAATAGTATGATTCTTGAAAAGTGCAAATTAACATGCTAAACTAAGTTGAAATTAAGTAAACTACTAAATCCAGCTTAACGTTAACTTGAAGTTTTTTATGCATTTAGGAAGTTTACTTAATGCGGAATTAAACATTACATATTTTTAAGGGTGTGATCAGGAAATAACTAAACTTAAAAACTAAATAATAATATGAAATAAGTAGTTACACAACTTACTGTGATATTCCATAAAGTATACATACTGGGCATTCATCATTTGCGAAAAGTGTTTCGGTGTGACCAGAAAGATCAGCATAGTTGACAGCAGATTACAACAAATTGAGCAGAACAGCATTGAAAAGCAAAATGAGCCGAAATCCTTCCTCAGTATGCTTGTCACACCTCTAGCAGCGAAAAATATGGTGTGGCATAGCACCATGGTCCATCCCGCGTAACACTTCCTCACCAGAAATGGGGACGTTTTAACCAGAAATGTTCCCGGGTATTTGGCATCCCATGGTTTTGTTATGTAAGGCGAGGACCCGAAATAATTCGTGAAGTGAAGCGAGATACGGAGCATTTTAAAAAATCGGGTCGATTCCATTTCAAATCAGGTAGAAAATTTCGAACAAAAATATTTTAACAGGTTCCAAATGGTATTCCAGATTCGTCAAAAAATATTAAGAATTGGAATAAAATCAAGTCAAATTTGCCCAAAAATTCAACAAAAAGTAGCCAAAAATTGCGTCAAATGTCACCCAAAATTTAAACCAAAGTCGCCAAAAATGCAACTGATATTCAGAAATCGAATCAACTCTCCTGCAATTCACTAAGAAATTATGATAATATGTTTTTAAGTTTCCAGAGAAACATAAGTATTTTATTTAACATAAGGTTCCCAGGTATCAAAAACCCTTCAAATTTTCAATTTTACTCTACTTCATATATATTTATTCAAAACGAAACGAATTTCCCCCCTCAAGAACTTGACTTTTACCCAATCGAAACCAGCAATTTTAGACAAAATTTATTTTTTTCTACGAAAAACTAGCTACGTGACCTTATAAAAGCACAAAATTACTACCCTCGTCCCAAAATTGACCAGGTAAATCGAATCTAAATATGTATATATGTGAGTCGACTAACCTAAATTGTTTTCCTATCTTGATACAAAAACAAATAAATAATTAAGAACCCTTAATGTTTGATTTCTTTAATCTAGTTATTTTTGTTTTGAGTAAGAACATATTTACTATATGGAATATTTCCTCCTTTAGTTTACATAAAGGCCAAACGTCAGATATTTATCATTATAAATTTACTTATTACAATCGAGGGGAGTTGGTGGAACAACAAGATTACCTGTTTTTAAAGCAATCATCCATTTCACGTTGGACTGGCATGTTTGCAAAGTTAAATTTTAAAATGTATGTATATATCTGGGTGCTTTCCTTTACGATTACAAAGCAAAATAATAGGTTGGTCAGGTTAAAGTAGTTATTTTGCATATTTTGCCACTTTTAAAAATTAGTTATAATCATTTTTGCATTTGCTAAGCGTAAGCTTCAATTGCCTCATTACTTCTTAAAATTATCCAAATTACATTGGGAGTAGTCTAAGTATAAATGTACCGGTTATTTACAGCAAAAATTGTCAATATAAATATTCCATCACCTTTATAACCCTGTCAAACACAATGTATTCAGTCTTAATACATACATACGTCAGCAATTCTTAATCTAATTTAAATCTTTCATTAAGGCTCATCCTCCACGTGGCGTAGTTCTACTTACTTACATACATAACTACATATGTACGTATTTGTGTATGTATACATAACTTGCCAGTCCATTAAAATTTAACCTTAATCTTATCTTGATAATGAAAAGAAGGAAAAAATAGCTCACAAGGGATGTTTCCCGCAATGGGTATGTTTCCCTGCTGATTTGAGTATACAAAGTTGTGTGTCAACTGGAGCGACGGTGGCGCACATACCCATCTGTGTATTATTTAGTTGCTAGGTGAGAAGTGGTGGCGCTCGGGTGCAACACCTACCAGTGTATTATTAGTTGGTGAATGTGCATAGACGGCGCTCATAGTGTGGCTACTATCGCTCGTCCAGTACTTCTTCTAGATAGAATAGTATAGTTCTGTGGTTTCCCGACTGCTTGTCGTTTTCCATTTCATGGTCTACTGTGTGTTTTTTTCAATCTTTTAGCGCCCAAGATTGTAACCTGATGCTTCCGCAAAAAAGAGGTGGTGCCGGAAATATGCTCTTATTATCGTGGGAGAGCGGATCAAGCGACTGAAACACTTGATAAATTTCATACAAAAATATATTTATTTACAGAATTGGAGTTTGTATGTGTACCTAAGTCGTGCTGGACACGAAAAACAAAGATGACTTTAAGAGTCTGAATCTAAAAACTAACTCAACTAAAATTTATGTTTCAGGGAGAGCAGATCTCTTCATTCAAACTAATCTAATTATCTGGTGTCTCTGTTACATCCTGTAACAGAAACACCCTTATCTCTAGACAGAATAACTCCTATGTCTATAAATGTCTTCTCGAGTTCTTGGTGAAGAACCAAGAACTCAAGCCAATTATATATTCAATGCTTTTTATTTTGATGGACATATCCATCCAAGTCGAGCCGAGCCTGGGTGGATATGTTACAAGGTGAAAGGTCCATTCGCTACTCTGATTAAACTCATATTTAGCGCATATGCGTGACAATAAGTTTAATAACTTTTAGCAAAGTTCTGACAAACTATCATAAATTTCGATACGTCAATGGATTTTGAAAAATCTTTGGATTACAATTATCACAAAGCCCTGAGAAATAAACAAAATGCAGACACTTGTAATTGAACTTCAACACGGATATGCAAATGGTTAAAATTCGTCCAAAATACAAATTCAAGTATCTCGCCACGCTGCGGCACCGAGTAAGTATACGATTTACATTAACATATGTATGTATGAACTGATCGAGGAGTAGACTTTGAAAATCATGGTGGGCACCCTGGGCACGATAAGCAATCAAGAACTATCCCTTGTAAGTAGATATTTAAATTTAAGCCATTTCCTCTCCGAACGAATTTTAATTTCCTTCTCAATTCATCATTTACTTATTAGATAATTGTCCTCCATTTAAATCAAGGTTTGCCCATATAATAAACATCTATTCTTAGCTGGCTAACTTTTAATGAAAATTGCTTTGACTTAAAAAACAGAAAAAAATGAGTCTATTTTTATTGTTCCAGAATAAATCCAACAAACCTAAATAATTTGATTAAAGATTAACGATATAGCTAAAATACTATTTAAAAATTACTAAATTTGCTCTACTTATTTAGAATTTATGCCTCATAATTATGAATCAACATTGTATGTTTTGACATTTTGAAACTGAACAAATCCGAAAATATCTAAAAGAAGAATGACTTGTTCCCGGGAAATGTTGATAAGGAATGAATTTTATTAAAGAGTCTTGTAGAGCAATTCTGTCATGTTTTTCAAATTGTTTAAGAAAAACGTGACAAAACAAATAACACTGGTCCAAAAAAAGTCACGGTGTTTGGAATCGTATAAAATAAACACAAAATTTGCATAAGAACTGCTAATTCTTGCATAATTCATTCAAAACGCTTGTCAATTGTTTAATTGCCTTGCTTGATTACGATAACAATCTGCAGATAAGTAACTAACTCGACTCTCCAATAAATTCCAATTCATCCATCCATACTCAATTATTCCCCTCATTTTACCATTATTCACTCCCTCAAATTAATCACTCCTGTCTGACTCGTTGGTAAACTGACTCGTTTGCCAAATTTGTCCACAAAAATGACGAAATTTCGCACATTATTTTTCGCACTTGTTGCGTTCATAGTTTCTGTGCAATCTGCACCCAGGCAAGATGAAAAAGTTCCCATTACACTGGACGATTTTTTGTTGGGAACACTATCCGCGGGTGGATTCGGAGGCTCATGGGTGCCAGGATCGGGTAAATGTGTAAATCGATATTTGCAAGAAAAAGGTTGCAAAAATTTTTTTAATTTGCATATGTGCCAATTTGCAGACGACACTCTTCGCGTAATTGAGGGAAACAACATTATAGATTACAACCTGGAAACCAAGGTGAACAACACGATCGTATCCAGCGATGTGTTTGAACCCAAATTTGTAAGGAAACACAATTTTTTCAAAATTTTTCAAAATTTTGTAAATTATATAAAAAATTTACAAAGATAACTATTAATCCAGGGTAATCAAGCCTTAGGATTGTCCGTATCGAAGGATAACGCATTCATCTTAATTGAGCACAGCAGACGACCCGTGAGTAAATATTTTAAAATTTTGCAGTAGAAAGTTTTACATAATTTGCATAATCATTGTTTTTTCACAATTGGTGACATAACTCGCCCGTGTAAATTTGTAATGAATCCATGTCACGAATTTGTCGGCTGGATTGATTCATTTGATAAGCAAGATTTGATAATTGGTTTGGCCTTATCTGTCTATAGCTCTGGCGTCACTCCTATCTCGCAAAGTACGACGTACTCGAGCTGGCCACTGGGTGAGTGAATAATTAATTAATTAATATATGCATAAAACTTAATTGGTCCGAGAATGCCATGCGTCACGACCCGGTGAACATTTCCAAACCATTTAATACTGGCTTCCTTCTGATCAATTTTTTAACAAATTGGTTTCAATCAAAAACAAATTCAGTTACGACGAAATTTATAAAAGACTAAGCATAATTTAGATATTTGCATCTAAAGAGGAGAAAAGTTAACAAGTTTTACACTTTCCAAATTTACTGCGTGTTTTCTCCTCTTTCGATGCAAATCAAACGTAGCCATTGGGATATATTTTGCTTTTTTTTGCATATTAGTAAATTTGTAATTAATTGACACTTGTTTAATCAAAATCTGGGAGCATACTTTAATCGTTACTTATTATCTCACCCTGCGTATATAAACCCCGTTTCAAGCTGTCTGATCTCACCGCCACACGAAAATAACATTGGAATCTCACTTTCCTTACCTGTGGCTTGAGCTCAGTCAGCTTGAAATGGAGTTTAGCATGAAAGCTATTGAATTCCTCTTGTCCGTCCGTCCGTTTGTCTGTCTGTGTGTGTTCCTTAGTTTTTGCATCAATCTATATTATAAGCTGGAAATGTTTGTCTGCAACGGAAGTGAAACTACTTTTCCGTGACGGAAGTGAGAGTGGAAAAAGTTTTACTTTCCTTGCGAACAGGCATTTCCAGCTAATTATATAGATACAATACTAAAATAATTCCGTGGAATTATGAACAATCCCCTTAATTTTCACGACAATCAAAGTGTTCTAGCCCAGCGGGAGACGGGCTTATACGCTAGTTAATACTAATTTAAAATGTTTATTTGGTATGTTTCCAGCGAGTTCACCGTAATTGAACCGGCCGGGTTGGAAGGTGGTGACCAGGAGGAGTTACAGCTCGTCGTGTGGGACGCGAATGGTCACTCTGTCGCCTTCGTGTACGGCAACAATGTTCACTACAAGGCGGGCCATGGGGCAGGCGATGCGGCCGTGCAGATCACGCAGGACGGAGGGGATGCTATCTTCAACGGTATTTCTGACTGGGTGTATGAAGGTGAGTCACTTACTTAGTGGGCAGGTGTACATACTGTTCAATCATAACGTGGCTAAGACACACATGCTTGACAGATAAGGTTTGAGTTTAAATGTACCGAGGTACATAGGTATGTAATTTAACTTTTCCTGATAAGAATAACTTGGTCGCTATGCAACTGGAATTTCCGTGGTGACATGTATAAGCCTATGCACATTTATCACCGGTTTTTCATAAAATACGTATGGGAAACATTAATTTAATTTTGAAACCAAAATTGGACCATGCAAATGACGATGAAATAGAATGCAATCAAAAATAATAATTTGGCCCAAAATAAATAACTGATAATTGAACCATATTGTAACCTTTACTGGAGAAATGTTCTCTTGTTAAATTTCTACTTGAAAAATCTACTTATCCCAAGTGTTTTTAAAAATTCTTTGTATACTTTAAATATTACTTTCTGGTACTGGGCTTAAGCTTGTGGAACTCAACTTTTTTGGGAACAAAGCATCTTAAATTTGGTGCTATAAATATTAATTTAGAAATTAGTTAAACAGATATTTAAGTAAAAAAAATAGTAACAAATATACAATTTCTGCACAGAGGAAATGTACGGAAGTCCGGTGGCCATGTGGTTTTCGAAGGACAGTTCGAGCCTCGCCTTCGTCCGGTTTGACGACTCCGGGGTCGACTTTTTCCAGTGGCCGCTCTACGGAGAGCCCGGCGTGAGGGAGACCGTGTACCCGGTCTATGAGCCTCTCCGATACCCAAAGGTACCCCACACTCTTAAAAATAATGTTACCATTCTCAAAAGTAAACACACTCTGGATTCACTTTTAAGTCAACTGCACTAAATCCATAGTAAACTTTACTTTTTGTTTAGTTAACGTTACCCCGAATTTAAATAACATATTTATGTAGTTTAGTATTCTCCTTTTCAAAAGGACAACATTATTTGTAAGGGTGCCAATTCGTTTAACATGTGATCAAATAAATCGTAGTCTACTCATCTCCCTGGTCAAGCATGAAACAAAAATTTTTTGTTCACTTGTTTTTGAAAAGAAGGCCAAATAGTTTTTGTATTAAACAGATGCAACCAAAAATTTAAAAAAATAGTTACTGGATTCCGAACAAATCTAGTAAAATTAATTAAAGACAATAGGTTGAATTAATATACATTTCCCAAATCAAAGATTATATTTTATTTGATAGGCTGGACGTGATAATCCCATTGTTTCTCTCCACATCGTAAAATTGGATGATCCCACTGCCATCCGACAAATCGTGTACCCTCCCGGACAAGATGTGGCGTAAGATTTTCCAACTTTACTTCAATATCTATTGCAGTATCGCTTATAACATTTGACATGCATTTTTGGTGTAAGTATATTCTACATACATACATACATACATTATGCTAATATGCATATGTTATGACATATATATTTATCTACCCCTCGCTAATCGTCAAAAAACCTGTTCGCTTATGGAAGGTGCTTAAATAGCTTATGTTTCTCTTATTCTCATTCTCACGACAGATTGCAATATTACATCGCCACCATCACCTGGGCCACAGCGGACCAAGTGATTATCCAAAACCTCAACCGAAACCAAGATAAAACGGTTTGGAACCTTTGTAGCGCGGCAAGTGGAACTTGTTCGGAGGTAATGCCGAGTATTTACATACTTTATAATTTTATGGTACGGAGTACATGACGACGTATTTAATTCTAAATATCGTGCAGTGATTTGAATTTAATTTCCGCTTAGAAATAATCATTCAAAATGAAATACCGAGACCGTAGAAATTTAAAAGTCTGAAACAAATCTCAATTTTCGTGCCAATTTTTTTTAGACTTGATATAACTCCCGGTTAAAGAATAATGATTCAAGATAAGATTACCACACGTTTGTAGAAACCTAAAACTCCAAACTAAATTTAAATTTTCGCGCTAATTGATCGTAGACTTTGCTTTAACAAAGGACTTGTGCAATAGGTGCTTGAGAGGTGGGCGACAACTCCTGTCGGTTGGTGGGACCCGCATCGGCCCCTCGTTTCTCGAGACGGATCAAAATTCCTCACCTTTGTAAACGCCCAACAATCCACGGACCCTAATCAGAGGTCCTACCGACACGTGCTCTCCATCAATTCGGTCCCGCCAAATCCAGAATTACAACCTCTGACGGAGGGTGCCTTCCATGTGGATGCCATATTGGGCTGGGATGAGGCTAATAACAAATTGTGAGCATAAAATTCAGTATAAAAATACTTTTGGGAAGTACTAATTAGTCAATTTTGTGAAGGTTACAAAATTTAATAATTATGCGTTTATAATTTTATAACATAATTTTGACGAATTTTGACGATTAATAGACAGAAATTTCGAATTAAGGGCTTTATGTAAATTTTCGTGCACGAGCTAAATATATTGTTAGATATATATTGCTAAATATATTTAGTCCTTAAATCCTTTAATTCACATTACAAAGTTTACAAAATTACAGAATTACAAAATTACAAAATTTGGACAATTATCTTTGCAAACGTCCAGAAATGTAAATAGTATCATAAAATTTTGCGGATTTATATTTTTCTCTTAATCTTACCAAATTTCGAAATCGACAATTTTTTTCCGAAATTTCGCAATGTTCGCAAATTTCTTCAATTTCCCCATCACTAACTTAAATGAAACGTCGTCACAGATACGTTTCCGGGACTGGATTTCATCCAGAAACGTCTCCGTTGGGAGATCCTAGCGAACGTCATGTCTACTCGATTGCTACCACGGGACCAAACTCGCCCCCAGAATGTATCAGTTGTACCGTTCTGACCAGCACGAACGAAGAATGTCGCTCCCATTCGGTTTCATTCAGCGCAAATTTCAAATTCTACATGCACACCTGTCGAGGACCTGGTGTTCCCGAGGTCACTACAAGATTCACTTCGGTGAGTGAAAATTAATTTTATTAATTTCAGTTTAGGTGAAGGGGCCGTCCATAAATTACGTAATGCTAGAGGGGGGAGGGGGTCTAAGGCTCCAATAATATCGTGCCTATGTTACACATGTTAAAGGGGGGAGGGGGGTCTAGAAAATCGCGATTTTTGCGTTACATAATTTATGGATGGCCCCGAAGTTACAATACAAAACTTTCACGTGTAAAACTCAGATCTAGGTGGGACAAATGTTCATCATAAAAAACGGATCCATATATATTTCAAATTTTCAGAAATTTGAATCTGAGGCTCTAATTTTAAACTTTTCAATTCAAAACATCGGATTTATCAAGACCTGTAATTTTTGAATTTTTGTTGGAATTAAAAGGTATGTTTATCTTTTGTTTCGAAGTGAAATTGGTCCCAACCAAACCTGAGTTGGACAAGTGAAAAATTTAATTTAATTTTTGCCAGTGTGGAAAAATTATTTGCAATCAAAGTAAAAGTTTATGAACCCGGTAGCAAATTAATAATCCGCAACCTGATAATTTTTTGAAAGTCGACCACCAAAAATGCAAATATATACAATTGGATTTTCCCTCCATCCAGAACAACTCAATTGCTGTTGTTTGGAACGACAACGCCCCAGTTCGTGAACGTCTGGCAACCAAGCTCCTGCCATCCTTGAGAGAAATGGAGGTCGAACTTCCACTCAGTTACAAGGCTAAAGTCCGTCTCTATCTCCCGCCAAATTTCGATGAAAGCAAACAATACCCACTTCTCGTGGAAGTGTAAGTTTACAACTTTCAAATCAATTTATTTATCAATTTCTAAAATTAAAAATCTCAACATTATGTAAATACGTAGTTATGCGGGCCCTGATTCGCAGAAAATCACGCAAGATTACGGCGTCAATTGGGGTTCATATTTGGCCAGTTCGAAAGGAGTAATTTTCGCAAATATCGATGGCCGCGGTTCTGCAAGACAGTCTGCAGAACAAAAGTTTGCTGTTTACAGGAATTTAGGATCTGTTGAAGTTGAGGATCAAATATCGGTGACAAAGTAAGCTCAAAGTTGTTAATCGTGGGTTTTTCGTGAATTCATTTTCACTCTAATTATCCAAAAAATTAGAGTTTGATTAAAACCTAATGCTAAATTGGGTGCCCTTCTAATAAATAAATATTTTAGGCACCTTATCAACACCTTGAGTTTTATTAACCCGAATAAAACAGCCATATGGGGATGGTCATACGGCGGATATGCGACGGCAATGGTAATTAAACTTATGTGTAATTTCTACTGAAGTACATAAAACCTGGATGTCCTAGAAACACGATAAAAGTTTTGTACAACTCTATGAAACCTGTGTAAATTTATACAAAGAAAATTTTTCGTTTTAGGCGCTTGGAAAAGACAACGAGAACGTGTTCAAATGTGGTATTTCCGGCGCTCCAGTTTCCAGCTGGTTGTACTATGGTGAACTAAAAATAAAACAGCACAACCTACCTATATTAATTAAGCAAATTTTGTGTTATTGGCTACACTACGTCGGATGGTTTTCGTAGTATTCCACACCACCATCTAACGTTTTTATGTTTTTATATATCCAGATACGATTTACACCGAGCGATACATGGGACTTCCAACCGTTGAAGACAATTGGGAGGGTTACAACCAATCCTCCGTGATGGCAAATATGGCAGGAATTGTTAACAAAGAGTTTCTCTTGATCCATGGCAACGCAGATGACAACGTTCACTACCAGAACTCCATGATGCTGGCGAGAGCCCTCGAGCAGGCTGATATCTTATATACTGCATTGGTTAGTTAAATTGCCCACTTTTCTTTCATTGATTTTATAGCTATACATAGTCCGTGGTACTGATTTTAAAATTTTATAATGTAGAGTTATCCAGAAGAAAATCACAGTTAACGGACCCGGCATGCAACGCCATCTTTACCACTCATATGAACATTTCTTAACCCGGAACGCCTGCTTTGGACCACTTGGAAACCCATGAAATGCTTAAATTTATCAATATACTTAGCGGGTAGTGACTTTGATTGATATATGCTAACAGTATGTATGCTTAACCCCAACTAAATGTCATGCAAATTTTTTGCTTCAGGGATAAATAAAAAGAACTAAAAGCAATTTACAAAATATGTAATTCGTTTTCAAGAAATTATTTTCTACTACACTGATTTTGATCATTTATAATTTCCTGGTATAGTAATGATTAAAATATTTATGCCACGTCGTCGTTACTGACAATATGGAAATTAAATTTGTTGCATATTTACATAGATAATTTTAGTCTCGTGGAAACCAAATCGAGAAATTTCTAAAACATTTACACGTATTAATTAGTTCCAATAACACCCTTTCGGGAAAAATCTGCACATTGAGTACATTACACGTACTATCAAGATGTTAGATTACTAATGGATGCGCTTAAAGCTAAATATTCGATTTGAATTAAACCAGCATAGAAATTTTAATTCAATACCTTTAAGTATGTAAGATTCGTATGGAATTGAAGCTTGTTATGAAACACTGATACGGTAAATTATTTATTCGGTTCGGATTTAGTGTCCCTGATGCTACTTTCCGCCATTGACTTGACACTAGGTAAACAACTAGTGCTCCCTACATGTATTCCAAACCGGAAAATCATTACGATTTCTCAACTCGTTATAACTCAAACAGAATGATACTTTGTGTTGTTATGACTACAAATTTCAGTTGGTTAGTTGAATGCACATACAAAGTAGACAATCGAAACGAATTTTATGCATGTTTACATGTGTAAATAATTTATAATAAATTGTAAAATGCGAAATCGAACGAGCTTGGGTGTGATTTGTGGGGTGATTTATTTTTTTTGGGTTTTTAGATGGTGCAACAGATATTCATCGAATTATCAAATCATACATATTCATATGTAAATATTTGTTAAACCAGGTTTGAATAGGGAAATTATTATATTGTAACCTAGCAATATCTTGACGAATTATATAATTAAAGTATCAAAATCATTATTTAAACGAAGACAAAATTAAGCATACAGTTCGTTATAAAAAATAAACACCATTGTTACATGAATAACCAAGCAATAAATAAAAAGAAATAAAAAATAAATAAGAAATCGAACAATCTCAAAATTTATTTGTGTACCTAAACCTTATAATGAAATTGTGTTGTACGTATGTGCATACTTATTTTTGAAGTATTATGTGCATATCTATGTATGTGTTAGTGTGACTAAAAAGCTGATGGATTAGTCAAATGTGCTCGTGATCTGTCTGGAATTTTAACGCTTATTTACGTGCTATTAATTAGCGGAGATTGCTTCACTTGAAGTATTTAATATATTTACACAAATCCTTAGTTAATTAAGTACAGATCAAAGAAATCACGCAATTTTTCCAAAAATTTCTAACGACTAGTTTTTTAAATCCAGTGAAATGTATGATTTTGGAAATGGGCAGTTTTAAAGTTTTTAAATTGAGATGACTAAAGCACGTGAAATTAAAGCGCAGCGGTCTATTTTTAGCATAATGATTTTAATTAAAGGTTTGAGCGGCAAGGAAATAGGTATTCTATAAATCAATTCTGACCACAAATAAATATCTAGTTGATAAATAGTTCTAAAGGTGAAACATGTATAATTATCATAGTGAATATTACTTAAGTTGAAATTCTGAATATAAAGTTAATGTATACATATTCGAATTCTTTTGTGCGTATCAATTTGTATATGTGCATATTCATCTAGGTTTTATATGTGCATAATTAAGCCATATATTACAATTCTATGCAACTGTCAAGCTGGTCATTGATAAACTGTATGAAATATGTACATACTTACTTAAGACTGAAAGCTATGTCAAATTTTATAAACTGTGTTTTCTATCAAATGTGTATTTAGATCAATCCTATGTCTATAGCTAGTGTCTAATTTACAGATAAAATGTGAAATTGGTGAAGAATGTAAATATCTTGAGCTATTTTAAGTTGTGCTACTTTCCTATTCATATGAGTGCAGTATCATTTTACAATTTTATTACTATAAACAAAATCACGCAGCGATAACTGTGCCTTTCATTAAACAGCTTACAATGGAGGTCTCCCAGAGTTTGCTATCAGATTTTGATCAAACACATATTAATGAATCAATTTAGGTATCTGCATAACATATCTATTAGCATGAAATTTGCAAATGAAACTATATGCAAGTGCGAAAATTTGGCAAAGATAATTACATATTTGGACCCCAAGAGGAAGAACAGTACAGTAAATTTGAAAAATCAAGATTTAACTTAATACCTCACCTGGGACACATATCTATGCCTAACATGTGCACTGGGAGCCTCATTTGCAAATTGGTGGGAACTTAAGGTTCTTTCACATTAAATAAAAATAATTATTTTACACTATCAATATTAGGAATAAATAATTTTAGATAAATGGTTTTATATGGTTTCCTTACTTTAAAAATGTTCAATAAAGCTAATATCAAGCTGTGTGCACCTTGTATTATACTTTTGTGATTTTTGGAAATATACATAAATTCACAAGAATTTAATGGCTCAACGTCACTTGTCAACTTTTTCCTGGTCAGACTAATATAAACTACGTCACTTCCTTCATAATAAGAACAATACCACTTTATAATGCTACGTTGTCGCTATTGTTTCAAGATTTTACAATGCAAGCAATTTAAGCTTAGTTTTAGGAAGGGAATCGTGCATGGATTTTGTGAAATAAGACTGATTTAAGGATTATGTTTCTGCATCAGCGCAAAGCAATTTTTTGGGAAACTCTTCTGACTAAATGCTCGGTTGGATTTTACAATTAGTTTTAGTATCATGACCTTATATTTTGGTGGTGGACAATTTGATTTATGGAAGATATCCAGGCATATTCTCCATCGGATGGAGTCGACGAGGGCCTGGTAACGCTTGTCTTTCGACAGGTCGCGGGATTTCAGCCATCTCAATTTCTTCGGGAGCCACCCTGTTATTCCGTCTAAAGCACTTGGGGATGGCTAGTTTCCATTTAACTGAAAGAAATATACATGCAAAACATTAACTCTTGTTATGAATAATATTATTCGAGCTTGTTAGAAACCAGATGTTATTTTAACGTGTATAAAGCTGGCACAAGTTACTCACAGCTTGGGCCTCCCATTCTTCCAAGATTATTCCACACCTTATACTTTGACACTACTATTACCGCGATTAGTACAAGAGTCTCAATTACGTCCAACAAGGACAAGCCAGTGATCATGGATACGGTCCCACCGATAAGGCCTTGTCCGAATCAAAGCCAATTAACGTTTTATATTGATCAAATTTATACTACAAACCTTACCAACTTCCTCGAAGGTGCTGTACCTTGCACTCCTTCGTGTTGGGTGTACCGAATCAACCACGAAGTAAACATTTACCACTGATACGGAAATATTCCTGTTGCCCCTAGATATATACACAAAAGTTATATGCATAAAAAATACCAGGACGAACATACGATTTAATCAAAACACCTGTAATCTTTGCCATAGAACATTTTCTGGTAGTAATTCATGCGATCTTCTGTCATTCGACTCCAGGTAACCGATGTTCGGTATTTGGTGTCCCGACAATTCGGGCGACACTTTGGGCATGCAGCTTTCAGTCCTTGGTTGTGCATTTCTTCTAAAAGTTTGCCATTTATATGTTCATAATGTTTTTAAACTATTGCACATCAATTAATTATTCACCCTCTTTCTCCCTGACGCAAGTATTCACTTGGGGTAAAGAGCACAATTTCCGTCCCGGGAACCCTGATCATTGGGAATAAGATACCGTAGCAAAAACTAGAGAATATGTACAGTGAAAACTCACCTGGAGAGGAGACCTTAGCACATTTGCACTTTTCGTAAACTGCTTTGGCGAAACATTCCTCCAAGCAGTTCTGCCTAGAATACTTTTTGTAGAAATCCAAATGCGCGTCACCTTCGTCATCGCTAAAGTAACAGCCACGTCGATCCTTCCCCAAATCATAAATGCAGTATATGTGTATACATATGTACAATAGGGTTTATCCATTGTAAAATTTCTAACCATGGAAATATCTTTGGCGTCCTTTTCCGCTAGGATGACTTCTGGGTAAAGCGAGACATAAATTTCTTTCCCATATGGCAATGATGTTCCAAATCGTTCGATCTGTGGCTCATCTCTTGGATTATTTACAGCCAACTACACATGAAAATGAGATTAGGTGTAATAATGATTTAATTTAGATACGAAATAATCTTACCATGAAGCCAGTATCATCACTGTGAACGCAGGCTCTATCCTCCAGATTTTCCCTTATGACAAAGGTCAACCCGGATGACTTACCAGGAGCCATTTGCCTCCAGGGAACCGCAGGGCGGTGCTTCGTATCATTTTTCTTTTCCACATTAGCAACATCTTCGTCTAAGTCGGCTTGCTCCCATTCCTTAATTTCTTCCTTGGTGCTGCCTCCTAGTTTAGATTGAATTGTTTCATTTCTAGCACCGAAAATATTTGATGGAAATGTAATTATTATCATCTTTGTATATAGGCTTGAAATTGAAGAGTCTAATGGTTACCGTCGTGTCGCCTCTGTGGGAATTCCATTGAAAACACATGTGCTTCCCCATTCCGAAAAATGTTCTTTAAATAAAACTTTGCAGTCATAGCTTTTCCCATTTAAAAGGCACCCCCTTATGATCTCATCGCAGTTTATCATTCCCTGGAATTTTATGAGAAGTAAATGTTTTTGCTGCTATCGCTGCATAATTTTTACATTACCTCTTTCATGAGTGGAATAACCTTCGATTTCATTCCTGCTTCTTCAGGATTGTCCAAGTGAGTTCCCTGGATTTTAGTGTTCTCACCAAACATTTCATCTACATCTTCTGGTATGTTAACGCCATTTTTGTGTGCATTGGTGGTACCTGGATGACAGGTATGATAGATGACCTTCATTATTCCTTCAACTTCGTTTTTGCTCCATTTACGGCCATCTTTAAGCCGGACTTCTTTTCCATCCCATTCCTCGAAGTAGTTTCTAGAAAAGAAAGCCTCGTGACATTTACACTACATGCACACGTGTGTAATGGATGCATACATATTCAGTAAAACTTTTATTTAAAATGCATGCTCACTTCCAAGCTTGACGCATATATCTCAACTTAAAACCACCATTTGGACTAATTCCAACTTGCGGGAATTTAGCATCACCAATATTTATTTCCTCAGTTTCGATGGTAACCGTCAGTGGATGCCCCATTGTTCTCCGGATGCCTTCTCTGATGATGTAGTACACAATGAACACGCACAATACGAACACGAGCATCCAGAAGGCCCTGAAACAATACAATGCCATTAATTGTTAACCCATTCTTGAATTTCTCTTTTTCAGTTATTTTAACTGACGATTTGACCGGAATTACACTTCAAATAAATTTGAGCTTAATAAATCGGAGACAGGTAAGAAGTTTAAGAGAATTTTCTGGTTACGTGGATTTTCACAATAAATATTTTTTTAATTTAGATTATTTAACAATTTGCGTATTAACTTTGACTGAAACGCTGGGAGCTATCTAGCCAATTATGACGAATTCAGCATTGCTGCTTGTCGTAAGCTTAATCTTCCTCAAGGGAGCTATATCCTTGACGGAAGAGGAGGATAATCATCAAAGAAGCGTTCGAACTCAGGATCGAGTTTATTGGGACGAAAGTGAATCTGGCTGCATGTGTCCTCATGTTAACACAATAGGAAATTGGCTATATTATTGTGGTTATGAATTAAAACCGCACAACAGCACCAGCAAATGCTTCCCGCAAGCTGTTTACAGGTGCGTCAATGGGAGAAAGGTCGCAATTCAAACTGACACTGACTGTGCCACGACGAGGACGAAATGTCAACCAAGAGTAAAATATGATACAGGAGAACGATGTGAAGCCTGCATAAAACATTACGGAAAGACATGTATCTGAATATTTATGTCGTGTAATTGGCCACATAGCTTTCAAACTGGTTCCAATTTTATGTGTAACACGTCACAGAAACGCTAAAATATATTCTTATGTACATGCACACATTTTTAATTCTTGTGTTATTTGCATCACGTTAAAAATTTGGAGACCGATATGACACAATAATTTGATTAGCTTTTTTTAAATCTAAATTTACCATAATATTTAAAATCGGTTTTAACCACAAAGTCTTTGTACCTTGCTAAAACATGCATCCCAGCTTGGGCACTTTGCCGTAAACCGGGAACTTTTTTGAGAATTCTGACACACGCGGCTTTATGGGCTGGTTCCCATTTCATCAAATTTTGCCACCGGATTTTGAAATTTTGCCAACGTCGTTTAAAAATGTCAACTAGCCAGGGATAAGAGCTTCGTTGGGTGTAAACGCAGAACGGGCGAGACCCCCTTTCCTCCCCTTGGGCAGCTTCCATTCCCCCGTCCCCCTCGACATCCATGATCACAACTTATCTTCTAATTCACACCATGCTGGGATAAGTATCAAAGTCCTAGTTACTACATCTTGAACAGAGAAAAAATGTTGCTTTCACATTTTTAATGTCATTTTCTAACAATAAATTCGGTTGAGGGCGATTTGTAACAGCAGTGTTCGACTATTTTGTTCACAAATGAATAATAATTTAACCTAAAGACACAAATTAGTGAATGTCTTGCCACTTTCACTTGTGACGTCAAATTTCAAAGTCAAGCAGTCTTGGATTTACATGCGATACGTCTCGGGCAGCTCACATTTCCAGGTCCCTTTCGATTTACTTACACGGTAACAACTTATTTATTAATTTATCTAATAATTTACATCATGCTTGCAATTAGATAATTGTCTCTATCCTAATTATATAAATAACTAAACACTCCATCTCGAATTGAGATGAAGTTTTGTACTTTCACTTTCACATTTTTATGTCATTTTCCAACAAAAAATTCGAATGTCTGTGTTTAAGAATTTGTGACAACAGTACTCGAGTAATTTCTTTAGTTTATGATTAATATTTTAACCTAGAGACTCAAATAATTTACCACTTTCACTTGTGACGTCACATTTTTGAGTCATGCATTAACAACTATTTTTAATTTATAGGTATGCGAGACCCTTCGTCGTTTCAGGCCACGTCCGCGTCCCCTTCGGCACCCACGGTCACAATTTATTTATTAACTTATCCCATAATTTATTCCAGTTTGTGATAATTGTCTACATATTAATTAACTAAATAACTACTAAATCTCGAATTGAGATAAAGTTTTGCTACTTTCACTCTTGACGTAACATTTTTAATTCATGCAGGGACATTACTCCTAGATCTATACGGCTTTACATATTTGTAAAGATGTGATATTATTAAAGTTTGCTTCGAATATGAATAATATTTTAAAAAATTGAGCTTAAATACACAGACAAGTGAAAGTTGGCCAGATAAACTAGGTGTGGTCTAGCTGACTCATTGGTCATAAGACGAAGAAAAACACGTATGATAAGAACAAAAGAATTTAAAAAGAAACATGTACTCTTACCATAGCTTTCTTGCTGGGTTTTGATTGACAGATTTTTGCATGTAAGGTTGCCACGGAATAGCCGAGTTAATTGCAGGTGAGGGTTGGCGAAAGCTCTTTGATCTCGTCCATGCTCTTTGTTCTGGGTATATGAATCCGCACGTATCGAGTGGAATTTGTGTGCCATGCATATGCAAATATGTATGAAATGTATGTTGCTCATCTTTTTTCGAAATATTTAATTTATATTAATTAGCATGCAAGATATAATTTAGCATATGTAACAGATGTGAAAGAAGTGGAATCCTGAACAAGATGTAAAAAATTCAAGTCAAAAAAATATTTTATGGAAAGTTTGCTTTTTCGGGTCAATATTTTCATTCCGTTGGAAAGTTGAATTTGTGTGCAATACATACATATGTAGGTGTGTTTGTTACTAATCTTTGACAAAATTTGCAATGTACATATGTATATTAATCTTCATTTAAGTTTAATCGCCCCATAAACGTAACTAAACAAAACAGATAAGACATAAATATATTTTGTGTATTTTAGCTAGTTTTAAATAATGCGGTGCACACGATGCTAATCTTTTTCAAGATGCATTTGATTCTAATCTCCTCTTAACTTTAAACAACCCAAGAATTAAGGAAGATTCAAGATGTTTACAAAATTAGAAATCTAGAACGCGGTATAAATTTACAGGTCAAAAATATTTTTAATGCAGCACCTGATTAGAAAACAATAACCGGTTAATAATATGAAATTTCGTTCTAATACGGAATTTTTGATACTAATTCGAAATTTTGTTAACCTCGCATGTATTTAGATTTGTTTAATCAACGGGATAACAAATTGTAATTTATGATTAAAAATATGTATCAATATCATTCAAAAAATGGATGTGATTCTATAAATTTCTTGAGATTTGATTTCGAGTATTATGAAAAAAATTGTACCGTCCAAGAAATGAAGAATAAAATAAATGCCCCAAAACTTGTCTTATACACTATTTAAAGGTTTCTTCAGTTCCATGAACTACCTAAAAAATCAGAATATAACGTGCAAAAGGTACTCGTTAAATACTTATTAAAACTTTAACAAAACTTTATTAAAACCCTAAATCAGAGTTTTAATTTTACTTAACCAGGAATTTATATTGAACTAATTTTAGTGAAAAACAAATGTGCACCAGCTACTGACGAGTATGTCGTAAATTTCATCTCATTTTAAACAAAATTCACATTTCTATTAACCTACTAATAGAAAATACAAATGCAAGGAAATTTGGACACAGTATTTGAAAACTGGCAAAAATTCCGACCAAAATCAAACATATTTATTATAAGCAGAATTTCTTTTTTGTAAAATTCTTTATTATTACGTGAAAATTGACAAGTTTTGCATATGTAAATCATCAAATTCCTAGCTATTTAATAAAATCACAAAATAATCTTAAATGAGAACAAAAAACACAAGCTTCATGGGAAATTCATAAACTTTAAAACTCATTATGATGTCAAAACCTTTTAATAAGCTGCATTAAACCTTTTAATCAGCTGCATTAAACTTTTAATTCATTCATTAAGCAGAGATACAAATAGAAAATAAGAATGTTATTAACATCAAATATCTTTGTCTCAATTTAAGTAGATTTAATTAAAATATTTGGTGTAAGTTTTGCGGTGTGGATAGGTACTTATGATAATCGCTAGTTGTCACATTATTGAAATTGTAAACAACATAAAGTAGAAAGCATGCTGATACAGGGAATGTGATGCCCTCTCATAACGAGACTCCGTTCTTGAGAAGTGTGTGATTTAATTAACTAGATCAAGCAATATATTCAATTTTGAAGGAGCATATCTCAACTATGCTTCCTCAAAACACTGTTCCACACACAAAATTATACATGAAAATGTACATAAATAAAATAGCTCCGATACATACACAAAACTAACAATGGAACCTTTTTTCAAGCTACACCGGGATCGACCAGCGACTTATGTCAAAAAATCAAGCCAAAAATTAGGAGTCACGTGACACTTATCTTTCCCTTGAATGGCCCTTTGAAGAAAAATATTGGAGGTCAAAGTTCACACGAGCGCCTTGGTTTTCGCCCCGTGTAGGAAAATGCAACAGAAAATTTGCTCAAAAATTGAACTTAACCACCAATATTTTTCTTCCAAGGGGCCACTCAACGGAAAGAGAAGGGTCACGTGACTCCTAATTTTTGGCTTGATTTTTTGACATAACTCGATAATCGATCCCGGTGTAGCTTGAAAAAGGTTCCATTGTAAGACTAAGAAATAAAGACTAAGATTAACCTACATAAAAACTTGAACGTGACAAATTATGATGAAATCACTACTCTTACAACTAATATTACTCCAACTACATCGAACTACATGAGGAGAAGTGAAACAGTTTGGTTAAGACAGAAATCCTGAGTCACCAAGGCGGTTCCTCCATCAATAAAATTGCTCCCCACCTTGATCCTCATCGATTGCAGGGATCGAATCCTTTTCACATTAACTTTTGCGATTCCTTTCTCCATTAACCAATTATGACACAGGTTCGTCGACTTTTCTCCAAATTGTGCCGCAAATGTTTCAAATATCATGCAAGATGAGCCAACCATAATGATGATGAATGGATATGAAAGGAACCCCTCTGATGGTAGGGAACTTGCCAGCTTGATGAAGACGAAGCTGACAATTATTTGCATCATAGGCGCTTGTATGACAAGTACGGGGATGATACGTTTCGATAAGGCGTGATTCATCTGCTTCTCTAGTACTTGGAGACATCGGTAGAGTTTGATACGCTTTATGAGACTGATACGACCAGTTGCAGTATCCGACATCCTGTTTAATCATTAAGGAACTTAATAAAAAATTAGGTAAAATATTTATGTGTATACATGCTTATATATTTACTCTGCTCAATATCCTGCATTAATTTCTAAAAATTTGTTGCCTATTGTATTCCCTCCTTCATACTTTACCCTATATATATATACTTAATTTGACTTTAATTTAAAGGTTCGGGGTGTCGCTCTGAGTATGAAATACTTCAGACTGGGGACCGTATTCTTACAAACTGCGTATTTTATGAAACTACCTGTTCAATATGTCGAGATAGTCTAACATACATCCCGTCGAGATGATGGTGACATTGAATAGGAAGAAAAATCCTTTGCTAGCGGAAATCGTCCAATGAAAGCTATCTGCGAAGATGGCCATTGTTTTGATACACTTCCAAATGGCTGTGTCCAGACTGAAAAGTTGCTCACCACAACTGGAACAATATCCCAAAAAATAGCCAAAGATGGGCGGATTGCAATGGTTGGCTAATAGCCGTCTCCCTCTGATAAAGAAGAGTGCGGGACACATAAAGTGCGGATATAGCAAGACTTTCCGCAACATGGAGTTACGAGCGCTTCCAAGTAATTATGAAAAAATAATTAGTTTACCCGACAAAAAAGTTAGCATAATATAAAGAAAAACAAACTTACCTCAGCTTTCTCTTCCCCCAGTTTTAGACGACACAGTAATGCCCATCTCCGGAAACGTGGCTTGCAGATATTGTTCGAATCGCATCAAAATTGTCCCCCTTTCCTCGCCAAGTCGATTCCAATCCCGAATGAACCATTAATTATGGCCGACAACCAAAAAATCATGTTTTGGAATAGCTGGAACATACACATGGATTGTGATTGATGGTACAATACGACAGAGAAGATGACGAAATAGCTGATTTGATACATTTCGATGATTCTGACACCAATAACCTTCCCGTTCTGAATTTTTACACATTTACCAGATTTATCCCAAGCTAGAGGAAGAAAGCGAAGGCGTGACAAATAATTTAAGGATACCTTTATGAATTGTAGGTGGTCGTACAACATTGTGAAAAGATATGAATTTTGTCCAAAAACCGAGACAAT